GATGATTGATTGGGGGGAGGAGGGGAGATGGGGGTTTTAGGTTTAAAAGGGGGGAATCCCCTTCCATTAGGACTTGGGGTGTAAGCCTTTTCCGGGTTGTTTCCCCTTTTCTTCTTTAATGCATGCACCAGCTTCGATATGGACTTCTGCACACAACTATCGTTCATAGGGGCCTTCCCTTTCCTTTCCCTTTATGACTTTCCAAAGGGTTTCACAATTGTTATGTAATAGTCACCAGCACGGCTTGCAATAGTTCTGGGGTGTTTTTTATCCATAAAGGTTTGCACTTCAAGCCATTTTGAAGATTTCCTTATTTTTGAATGGGGCAATTCTTAATTTTCTTCTCCCCCCCTCTGAAGAAATTTTCCCTCAGGTGGGGCCCCTTTGCTGTTGAAGTTAATCTAGCGCTCTCAGTGGTTATTTTTCATTGCCCTCCTCCCCCAATTTTCCCCACATCCCCCCCCACTAACCCCCAAAACCCCGACTTCCCCATGCCACAATGGATTCCTCAACTGGCTTGCTTTCAGGGTTAGCCTAAACCTTAAAACCCTTTTGGTCTACACACTGGGGCCCACAGTTTCTTCCAAGCAGAGTTAAAGGTCCTTTATACTCCCCCCAACTTCCCAAAAGGTTTAACAATTGAGGATATTAAAGTGCTTTTCCCAAAATCTCTTTGATCATTAGTTTCTGGGGTCACTAAAAAGCCCCCTTTCAAACAGGCTTTTGGTCTTTTTTTTTGAAGTTTGCAAAAACCCTTTTGGGTCCAGGGGACTACGGAAAGGGGGGGTATTAGGAGGCAAAACTTCCCTTAATAAAAACTCTTTCCCCCATAAAGTCGCTTCCCAAAGTCTGTAGGATGCCCGGGGGGCATTGTTAACCCCGGGGCACTTAAGGTCTAATTTTTTCGTTAGATAATTTTTCAAGGGGGGGCAAATGCTTGTGCAACCGTCTTTGAAAAAGCCCCTAGGACCATCCTTATTGTTTGCCCTCCACAGCACACCAAATTAGCCTTGGGTATTCTTTTGCCTGAACGCTCTGGGAGTTTCAGAGTGATACACAAATAAAGGCTTCACTTTGCAACCCCACTACATTGGCACACTTAACAGAGAAACCCTGTTTTTTCATAGGCTTATGTCCGGGGGGCCCTTTCCCCCTCATAAGTGGGCCCCTGTTTGGGCATTTTTTTCCAAAAAAACAGGCCGTTTCGCACTTTTTAAAACACTTGTTCAGGTTTCGTCCTTCACTGTCTATGTATCCTTGAATTCCGCACATTTTTTTTCAGCTGCTTTTGGTCCGAACTGGCAGCCTCACCTGATTATCCACATGTACCCCACTACGCCTCTTAAATCTTAAAAACCACCCTTTGCTGGCCCTTTAAATTCACTACACACCCTAGTTGCAGGCTTTTTCTAATTAAACCCTCGTGCAACTTCCTACCTTTTCACTTTGATCGCTTGAGAGATGCTATCGTGTCAACGTTTTTCATTTATCCACAACCTAACATCTTAACTTTCAATCACTTTCGATCTCTGTTTCGAAAGCACAGTTAAAAATTTGGAAAAACAGCTTCCTTGTTGCCCTTTTTGGGGCACAATAGGGTGGTTGATTGGGTTTATATACAACCTGGCCGCCCCAGACACGCAATCCCCTTTCATATTACAATGATCTCTTTTTCATCTCCATGTAAATTCTCCCCTTTTTTGTAGGGTTGGACTAGAAGCTTTCTTTGGGGCCCCTGGGCATTATTTTTTTAGGTGAAATCACTTAAAAAGGGTAAAAATACAAATGTTCCCATTTTATGCTTGATGTTACTGTAGAGGCTGGGTTTTTAAAAAATGCCACTGGCGAAAAGTGAGGGGGTCAGGCTGCAGGAATGTCTCGGACGAATTGCATTTGGCGAATTTTTTAACACTATGCAAGGCAAAATTTTAGCAATAAAATGTATCGCTATGCGGATTTAACACTATGCGATGCCAACGTTATGCGGGGGTCCACTGCATTATATATAAAGGAATGTACTGTGCAGTGTGATTTATGTTGCCACCATATTTCACCTAAGAAGCACATGAAAATTCAAGTCTGGAAACTTTTTTGACAGCACCTTGTATAGCTACAATTCAAAGGCAAAAACAGATCTGGCCATTAACAATAGCAGCAAAACATTTGGTGTCTGGTCACCACTTATCTTCAATCATTTTATAACATATCTGGCATCTTCCTCCAAAGTAGGGTGATGCAAGAAAGAAGTAACACATTTGTCATCATTCATTCCATAGTGCCATTAATTCAAAAGCTCCATCTCGTGTTAGTTGTTCCTATTCAGGCTATACCAACTGGTGTTTAGAGCCTTTGCAGCTAGTGGCATAGAAAGAAGGCAAAAATGTATGAGCAAAAGGAAAGACAAAAAACTAACAGAGCAAAAAATAATCATGGAATCAATCATTAGTGTAACAAGAGGTTGGCTATTCCAGAAGTGGTTTATGTAACATTGCAGAAAAGTAGGTTTTCATATTTCAAAACATTATATTTTGTTGCCTTACATGGCAAACTTTACACAACACAGCCTCTCCTCACTTAGTGACATACTTGTTTACCAACTGCTTGGACTTATGACCAGCTCTCCAACCAGTATGCAAACCTAAGTGATGTACGTATATTAGAGCTGATTTCCTCTATTCTGTTTGTTACAGTATACAGTACACTACTGTAAAATTTTTATAAATGGTGCAAAGGTGACATTAAAAAATATCTAAAGGTGGTTGACACAAATCCACTACCAGTACATTATGCTCCTCGCTTAACAACCATTTTGCTTACCAATCTACTTTAGGAATAGAACCCCATCGTTAAGTGAGAGGCTGTACCATATAACTTACCTGTTGTTTCTCAATAAGATGCTCCTGAAGCTCATCTCTCTCTGCTTCAAGGGCAAGAATTCTTTTTCTCGCTTCTTCTAGAATCTCACGAACTCTTTCAGGTAATACCTAAAGAGGCAATATTAAAATTAAAATATTTATGAAATATAATCAAGAATGTATGCTTGCTCTGAGGATTTGTAACAATAGACAACTGAGAAAGCATGAAGTGCACTGCACACTAGTGGCTTTCTTTTGTGCCTAACAATGTTTTATTACATGTAAACTACATTATTTTTATACCGCATAAAAAGAAATAAAAACACATATTTGAATTTAGGCTTATGGCATTATTTACATTGGATTTCATAAGTACTATATATGAGATTGCAATAACTTTTTTTGTCATATTAGGTCTGCAATTATAGCTGACTGATTATACAGGTATATTAAATACACATGGTGCATTATTTCATGATTGTCATGTTTCTTTTAAAATCACATATGAGAAGTTGTTATTCAGAAATTCTAGTTAAAGCTGTTGTTAAGATTCTGATATTTTGGTTGAACACTGTTATACTTTTATTGTTACAAGGGATTTTTCTGGAAAATTTTATATATAATAACGCAGGTTTCATCAAAGGGCGTCACCAGGGTTTACAAACTTTTTTCAGGTAAATGCAGATATAAAAAGTATGATTTTATGTAGTACGACATGAACCCTTTCAAATGAACTAATGGGGGAAGGGTTAATATATTGCCAATTGCCCTCCCCCCCAAAATTTTTAAACTTAATTTTATGATTCGGGCGTCTTCTAACTAGCGGACTTGGTTACTAATGCAAAAAGTAATTGGATGCTAAAAATGGGGGGATTTGTAATTGTTAGTAAAAACGTTCTTACTACCCAAAAACGGGGGAGGGAGGTGGAAGTAAAAAAAGTAACGCTGATAAACAAAGACAAAGGGGGCTTTTTTGAAGACCTGCTCTCATTTTAGGCAGGTCTACTAAAACCCACCTTTCACCATAAATTTCTAGTTTGTTTTTTAAGCGCCAGCCTTTTAACATTAATGTTAAAGGGGGCGGATATGTGGGGCAAAATTAGGTCAAACAGGGGGGAAGATTTTAAAAGTTGCATGGCAAGGCAGTAACTGAACGTATGCAAAAACCCCAATGCACAAAAAAGGCCCTAAAATCTGGAATTCATTACCTGTAAATATAAAAAACGCTACCTGTTTTAAATTAAATCTCTTCTCAAGATCACTTACTCACTCAAAACCAAAAAAATACTGAAAAACTAACCCTTTATAAATTGTATTCCTAATTTATCACAATTATATCACAAAAATGTTAAACCTGGCCCAAATCTAACTTTATTTTTTTTTTTAAATACACTAAAACAGAATACTCCATCGACTGAATGTACAGAAAATGCATGCAACCATATGCCCTTCTTTGTAATACTCATTTTGTTTTTAAATACATGGAAACCCCCCCGGGTTAACGATTTTAATCCCCTGCAAGAGGGGTAATTGTTATGCGAAATAACGTTATTGAAGAATTTCCCCATAAGAAATAATGGAAAAAATTAATCCGGCAAGACACCCAAAAGTATGAAAAAAAAAATTTTTTTTTTCCACATGAAATATTAATTTTAAAACACAAACTGAAAAAGGCTGCAACTTTCATACCTTACTTTTTTTGAAAATTGGTGATGATTGATGGGTGGAGAAGGGGAAGGGGGAAAATTATCTTTTTTTTGAAGGGGAACCCTTCCATTTTTCGACTTGAGGTAGCAAGTCCTTTCCGGGGGGTTTTTCCCTTCTTCTTTTAATGCCACTAGGAAAGCTTGAGGTATGGACCCCTGTGCACAACAAATCTTCCCTAGAGTCTGTACCTCCCTTCCTTTTTGATTTGTCTAAAAAGGGGGCCCAACTTTTCATTGAAAAGTCACCAGCACGGCTTTTCAACACTTGTAGGGGATTTTCATCCCTAAAAAGGTTTGCAGTTCAACCCCCTGTGCACCATTTTCCTTTAAACTTTGAAGTAGGGACAATGGATTCCCAAAAAGGCATGGCTTTTCAGGGTTTGCCCCAAAACCCCTTTAAATCTTTCTTAAAATTTTCCCTATAATTTTCACCCTTTTTTCCCCAGGGTTGGGCCCAGAAGCTTTCTTGGGGCCCTGGTCACTTATTTTTAGAAAAAACACCGAAAAAAACTGTAATAATACGAAATATTCGAGTGTATGCTTGGATGTTTCCGGGGGGGAGGCGGCTGGTAAAAATGGGGAGGGGGGCACATGTGGGGTGGTGAGGGCACATTTGAGGGTTTGGAAAAATCGGGGAGGGGTTTTTTCGGGAAAGCGGGCAAAATTTTTTCGATAAAAATAAGCGGATGCGGAAAAATCGCAGTGATGCCATGATCGGGGGGGCCCGTGTTATTTTTTCAAAAAGTTTTTTCAATGATTTTATCATTGCTTTGTTAATCTTAATTAATTTTAAGCCAGCCCGAATGTATGATAAATGGCTTTGGATGCTGCTCTTACCTTATTTTTTGTACCCCCTTTTTTGTATCTTTGTTACTTAAAAAATTTGGGGACCCTACCAAAATCAAAAACAAAATAAAAAAAAAAAAAAATTGATTTCTTTGCTAAGTTTTACAATGTGTTTACTTTCATAATTTGACTGGTACAAAGAAAGCCATATCATGCCAGGGCATTTCAGGCAGACTTAACTTAATGTTTAAAACTATTTAAATTTAAAGTCCAGACAGGTGAAGAGTGGTAGACTACAAATTACATATATTCAATAATTTTACTCTTTATTAATATGAGGTAGTACAATTAATGATACAAACACACGTTTTCAAGTTAAGGCTTAATAGTTAACCCTTAAACTGTCCAAACGTAGATCTACGTTCGTACGCGTAGCGCTCCGAACATAGATCTGCATTCGATTTTACATTGTTTCTTATGTAAATAAAAAGTAGATCTACGTTCGGAGCTCTACGCACGCAAACGTAGATCTACGTTTGGACAGTTTAAGGGTTAAGGGATAATAAAATGTATTTGGGAGAGTTGCTTTAAATTTTGTTAGTTTAGCATAGTGTGGGTATTGTTGTTAATGAGATAAGATGATTTTTGAGTACAGTTCCAAACTGATTTGTGGGCAGGGGACCTCTTGCTGTTTCAGGCACAGAGTTCTAGATCTTCAGGTTCTTTATGTGAATTGCATTTTGTATAGTGTGAGACAGACACAAGGGATGTCAAAAAGTGTTTTGTGCTTCGTGTTATGCCTGTGTTTTTTGTTGAAGCGGTCTAGGAGCAGTTTAAGTGGAGGGTTGATATTGGAGTTGAATGTTCTATATACATAGTAGGCACAATAATATGTTTGCATATTTTGTTCAAATTCAAGCTTTTGAAGAGTGGTGGGGTGTGTTGTCTGGCGCAGGAGAACGTGATCATCTACACGGTTGCTTTTGTTGGATTATTAAAGGTTTAAGGTGATTGGCCATGGTAGATCCCCAAACACAAACACCATATGTGAGGAGAGGGTATATTTGAGAGTGACATAAAGTAAGGACTCCATGGGGAAGTGGAACAGAATTCTTCCTCTGTAAGCTATGCGTGTCGTATGAGGCAACTAAAATGCCAGGAGCAAGGGGCTAGTAACCCCTTCTCTTGTATAAATTATTAAATTTAAAAAGAGAAACTTTCGTTTTTCTTTTTGGGCCACCCTGCCTTGGTGGGATACGGCCGGTTTGTTGAAAAAAAAATAAAGTAAGGAGCTCCTGTTGGAGTACATAGTACAGGTCTCCCTCAACATTTGCAGGCTTCACACATTCGCAAATTCCCAACCGCCAAATTCTCAGCCGCCAAATCATATTTAAGTTTCCCGCCACTTGCGAATCCCTACTACCCTCCCTCTGACTCCCACAACTGGCAGCCAGCCCTCCCACCACTGTGTGGTGAGTGTTTTGTTTGTTCATTATTTACTATTAAACTACAGTATAAATAATGTAAACCCATTCATGACTGCATATTAGAATGGCTATTCAGGCAGGTATTGGATGGTGACATCATGTGTTTACTCTTGAACACAGCAAAGAATCAAACATTTCTGCTACTGCTAATAATAATAATAATAATAATAATAATAATAATAATAATAATAATAAATATGATAGAATTGAAGAAGGAAATTGTACAAAAATACGAGGGAGTGGTTGACACATTGTCAGTGTGGCTTTGTTTATGCTGGAGTGAGCATTAGTCTCCGTGCTCTTCCAAACATTTCACAATAATTCGTTGTGTTTGGTGCTTGTAGATTGAGTGTGAATGGAGTGGTAGAGGCAGTGGTTGAGGAAGCAGTTGAGGCAGTGGTTGAGGCAGCAGTTGAGGCAATGGTAGAGGCAGCAGTTGAGGCAGCAATTGAGGCAGCTATTGAGGCACTGGTAGAGGCAGCGGTTGAGGCAGCAATTGAGGCAGTGGGTGAGGCAGTGGGCAAAGCAGCAGTTAAGGCAGTGAGTGAGGCAGCAGTTGAGGCAGTGGTATTTAATAACATAGATGTTATTAATAATAATAATAATAATAATACATTTTTATTAATAATAACATGTACTATTATTATTTATAACATATATGTTATTAAATACCACTGCCTCAACCGCTGCCTCACCCACTGCCTCAACTGCTGCCTCACCCACTGCCTCAACCACTTCCTCGACCACTGCTTCTACCACTCCAGTCACACTCAATCTACAAGTACCAAACACAATGAATTATTGTGAAATGTTTGGAAGAGCACGGAGACTAATGCTCACTCCAGCATAAACAAAGCCACACTGACAATGTGTCAACCACTCCCTCGTATTTTTGCACAATTTTCTTCTTCAATTCTATCATATTTATTGTTATTATTATTATTATTATTATTATTATTATTATTACTACTGTTATTATTAGCAGTAGAAGAAATGTTTGATTCTTTGCTGTGTTCAAGAGTAAACACATAATGTCACCGTTCAATACCTGTCCGAATAGCCATTCCAATATGCAGTCATGGATGGGTTTACATTATTTATACTGTAGTTTAATAACAATATAATAAAGCAAACAAACACTCATTACCAGTTTGCGGGGTCAGAGGGAGGGTAGTAGGGACTCGCAGTGGTTGAGGAAGTAGTGGAGGCACTGGAAGGGGCAGTTTTGGAGGCAGTGGTATTTAATAACATACTGTTATTAAAGCATAACATGATATGTATTTAGTACAATTTACGAAGTTTTCATGTATTTTATGATTGTTCTTGGTTTTCAACAAGTTAAGGATAGCAGTATTATATTAAATTTCCCTACAATTATATTGGGGCACTAAATACATACGCAATTTTTCAACATTGCGAGGCTCTTGATCCCCTACCGCGAATGTTGAGGGGAGACCTGTATTGTATTTGGAAGGATACCTACTGTTTTGGAAGCTTTCTTAGTTATATGCTTTGTGAGTGGTCTGAAATTTAAAATTCCAGTCGAGTGGTGAGACTAGAAATTTGCCTCAGTGTGTCTTGAAATGGGTGAACCATTTATCGATATATTCAATGGATATTTAATGCTCTGTTTCAAAAGCATGAAGTAGGTTTTGTCTATACTGACAGTATGTTTGTTGGTCGTCATCCAGTTTGATCTTTTATGTAGCTCGCTGTTTACAGTGTTACTAAGTATACCAGGTTTGGGTGAGAAGGTGTAAGTGGGTCACCTGCGAAGAGAAACTGGTTTAAGGAGTTAGAGTTAAGAGGTAGAGGATGGAAATAAATGGTATAAAATACTGACACAATGGAAATATAAACACATATGTAGTATAATGTTGTCAATAAAGGATTACTTTATACTGCATATGTATTCATATTTCCAAAGAGTAGAGAACCTAGGACATTTCCCTGTGGCACTCCAACATCAACAGGCTGAGTATTGGAGGTCATGCCATTTTTGTATACATACTGGTGTCTACCACTAAGATAAGATTTTAGGTAACTGAGAGTGTGTCCTCTGACCCCATAATGCTCTAGTTTTAGGTGCAAGATATTGTGGTCTACTGTATCAAATGCTTTCCGTAGGTCTATGAAGAGCCCCAGAGGATATTTATTTTTTCAACTGCTGTACATAGGAATTCGAGCATCTGAATTACTGCATCATTCGTGCTTTTTTTCAGCCTAAACCCTGACTGGCAGGGGGTTCAGCATGCTATGGAATAGGAGGTAGGAGTAGATTTGTTTATGTATTATTTTTAAGAAAATTTCAGAGAGTAAAGGCAAGTTAGATATTGATCTGTAGTTATTTAGTTCTGTAGGCTCACCTCCTTTGAGGATCAGGGTGACCCTTGCTGTCTTGAGTATGGATGGGAATGTTAAAGATTCAACAGATTTGTTAAACAGTATTGCAATAATGGGGGACAGCACACGAGCTGCTTTTTTATACATTATTAGTGGCAAATTATTTAGGTCTCCTGCCTTGTTTTTTAATGATTTAATTATTAGTGAGACTTCAGTAGGATTTGTTGGTGCTATATATAGAGTATATGGGCAATTACCAGTGAGGTAATTTTGTGGCTGAGTATTTGTTTTGGGGATTTTCCTTGGTAGTTTTGATCCTATAGTAGAAAAGAAGACATTAAGTGTGTTGGCAGTGTTTATAGGTTGTATGTGTGGTTCGGCTGGTTTTGCTAAGTTAATCTCTCTGTTTCTAGACAGTTTTCTAGAGTCCAAAATTTCAGAAAGAGCTTTCCACCTCGGTGGGAGATGGCTGGTGTGTTAAAAAAATAAAACTGTACATTGGAGTGATCAGTATGTTTAAGAGGTGGAATGCTTCCACTAATGTTTAATCATTAAGATTTGAGCAGTGACTTGAAAGCTTGAGTAAAACCTACAAAATCTGTTTGATGAACAGAAGATTCTATTGTCCGAGCCGAGGACTCAGAGGATGAAGCAGGTTTTGAAGGTGAGGAACTAGGTCGGACAGGCTGTTTCACTTGAGGGGTGACTGGTGCACGTGTCTGCTTCAATCCTGTGTCTACTCTTGCTCCTATATGTTGAAACAACAATGGCCTATTCTTCTTTGCAGCACTCAGCTGAATGTTAGCCAATTTTATTTTTTTCTGTGAAATATATTGAATCTTTAAGCATACATTAGCTAAATTTTTAAATTCTAATCACAATAATCACTAGCTCCTTTTTCATAAAATGGAGGCTTATTATATAAATTTTCCATTGTAGAAGAATCCTTCAAAGAGAATACCTTACTCAAAAACTGATTACAACCCATTTTCTAAGTGCTGAATAACTCCTTTGGGTTTAACCCTTTCAGGGTCCATCCCGTAGATCTGTGGCTTTGAAGCCAGGGTCCAAGCCGTAGATCTATGCCAAAATTCTAGCGGATACAAATTTAGCGCTAGAAGGCTGGTAGGCCTACATCTAAGATAATGGGTCTGTGTGGTCAGTGTGCAGTAAACAAAAAACTGGGGCACCTGCATTGCATTGTGGGAACGCCATCTCAGTACGCTTTGTTCATCATGCCTGGCGAAAAGAAAGCTCTCACTCCCCGCCGAATTCTGACTCTCCTCTTCCCAAGTTATAGTTCTAACACTGATGGAAGTGGATCTGAAGAGGAATTCTATGGTTCTGAACTATATGGTACATTGTACCATATGGTACAATGGTACCATTTTGTACAATGGTACCATATTGTACAATGGTACCATATGGTACAATGTACCATATGGTATATTGTACCACAGGGTACAGTGTACCATACATTGGTACATTGTACTGTATTTGTGTATACCTGAATAAACTTACTTATGATGCCATATACACTTGAGTAAGTTTATTCAGGTATATACACAAATACAGTTTCATAGATTATCATACATAGCAGCATATGTGTAAAGATCCTAGGATAACCCAAAAAAAGTCAGAGTGACTTATTTCCACTGGGGTCCCTATATCTGTAACATATGGTACAATGTACCATAAGGTATCCTATACCATATGCAATTCCAAGGGGACTGAGTACATCCTGTGGCCCTACACCTGGAAAAAACATTGAAAGTGATGATGATGTGACTACAATTGGGATGGACACACCACATGCGTCAGTAGGTGGTGGTGGTGCCACCAGCATGCAAGCGTGCAGCATGTGGCACCAGCCCAAACTGGGAGTGAGTCTGGGACCCAAGCCGCTGACTCAGCAGTTCCAGGACAAAGCACATCATCCATCGGTGGAAGTAGACGACTGTGGCTTAAATGTATTTCTTTTTGCAACGATAATGCTTATGCCTCATGTCTATAAGCATAATATAAAATCATACTGGTCCAGGGATGAGTATGACACCACTGTGCATGACACCTTGTTTCAAAGACTTTCACAGAATGTAGCAGTTCTAGGAACATGTCCAGTGACTGTATATATGTAAATATATATAATAGAACATTACTAATATACAACATTTTTGCATGTTTTTTGTTGTAAACAATTATTGTAAACAAAATAATGATGAAAATATTAGTGCAGTTATTATGTTGAATACAACAAGTGTACATGCTGTTGTAAACAATTACTGTAAACAAAATGACAAAAATACTAGTGCAGTTATTATGTTGAATAAAACGAGTGTACATATATATATTATACATTATATTGGTCTCACAGGCCACAAATGTTACTGGAAGAAAACAAAACTATAAAAGAAAAGAAAAAAGGAACAAAACAGTAAAATAAAAAATGCGACTTTACGGAAGTCACGGATGTTGCCACCACCCGGTCATTGAGAGTCAACTTCACGCCTAAATATCTTTTGGAAACTACCGATAGGAATTTTTTGATGTTTTATTACCTATAGAAAAATATTATCTTTAATCCTCTGTAAGAAAGGAAAAATTCTTGGACCCTGGCTGTCACTCTGAGATTTGGCCTCTGGACCCTGAAAGGTGTTTTCCCCATAAATATAATATTAATATTACAAAAGCTTAATCTTTATTGATATGAAGAAATATTATAGGTAGTAGGTTAGCAGACAGTAGCCACCCTGGGAGGTACTTCCATCCTGCCGAGTGAGTGTGAAATGATAACCTGTAATTGTTTTACATGATGGAAGGATTACTGGTGTATTTTTTCTGTCCTATAAACATGCAGGATAACAGGTATATCTTGCTACTTTACTAGAACTTAGGTAACACTACACATTGATGTACGTACATCAATACTATATACACACACACCCATCTGGGTTTTTTCTATTTTCTGAGTTGTTATCTTTATACCTTGATCTCTATAGGGAAGTGGAAAAGAATTCTTCCTCCATAACGTCATGCATGTCATAAAAGGCACTAACCTGCTCGGGAAACAAGGGGCTAATAATCACCCCTGCCTTGGTGGGATATGGCTGGTTTATTGAAAAAAATAAAAAAAAAAGTCTTTTCTCTTGTTGAATTATTTATATCATATCAGCTTCATTGTAATGCTCATATGTTGAATGACTAAATGTACACCCATCTCATTACTCCTAAGTATTACTGAATTCATTATTTCTGTTATACAGTTCATTACTGCTACTACTGCTTAGCTAAACAGGACTGGTAAGGCCTGGGTTCAGGACCCTTTTTTTTTTTCTCTGGTATGAAGCAGCATGGCTGTTTGGTGCAAAGACAAAAACTACATGGCTGTTTGATGAACAATAAGATAAACTAAGTAAACTAGTACCTTACTGAGTGAATGGGTTGTGCTTGGTTCATTACATATTCAGTTCAAGGGTTATGAAAGAAACAGCTTTTTTTAAAAAAAGGAAAAATATTAAATTTTCAAAACTATCATTAACATTGTTTACTTTAATAATATAAATTACCCTTTGAGGGTTTCAGCCATAACTTAGTCGTCTTACGCGCAGGGGTTTTGACCGTACTAGTACGCTTAAATTCTAGCGCTTCCAAAATCTCGCAGGGAATAGGCTGATAGGCCTAGATGTGAGAGGAATGGGTCTGTGTGGTGGGTGTGCACAGTAGGAAAAAATCTGGGACCCAGTGGTGCATTGTGGGATGCATAAGTACACAATGTCCACCATGGCCTCGCAGTAAGAAGTTTCCTCACTCCTCGGCGAATTGGCGACACTTTTGTTCCCAGTGACAGTTCTAATACAGATGGATGTTGCCGTGGAAGAGAGTTTCAAAGTTTTGGAGAGGTATCGACCGAACTAATAACCATAATATCCGGTAATAGTGAGGAAAAACCCAGACAACCCACAGCCTTCCACCTCTGGTGCTGGGCCGTCTTGATTCCACGCCTCAGTTGTCCAGAATCAATGAGGAAACTCCTATTTTCCCAAATCCCAACTCAGTGTGAGCATTGGTGATGAATAGTGATAGTGATTATGAACTACAAGCTCTGCCAAACTTGTTCCAAGAATGGTAGGAGGAGGGGGAGGGAGGAGTGAGGAGAGGGAAGAAGAAGAAGAAGAGGAGAGGGGAGGAAGAGAGGAGGAGGGGAAGAGGAGAAGGAGGAAGGAGGAGGAGAGAGGAGAGTGAGGAGGAGGAGGAGCGAGGAGGAAGAGGAGGAGGAGAGGAAGAAGGAGGAGGAGGAGAAGAGGAGGAGGAGGAGGGGAGGGAAGAGGAGGAGGGAGGGGAGGGAAGAGGAGGAGGAGGAGGAGGAGAGGAGGAGGGGAGGAAGGGAGAAGACAGAGGAGGAGAAAAAGGGGGAGGGGGGGAGGAGGAAGAAGAAGAAGAATAGTATAATAACAATAATACATATTATACATTAATAATAATCAGTAATACATAATATAATATACATAATAAATTAATAATAATAATAATAATAATGTAATAATAAATGTTCACCCATGACAGTAACAGATAAGGGGAGATAACATCTGATAAGGCTGACGTTTGATGAGGGTAAATGAGGGTGCAGCTGATACCAAAAAAGATTAGCATGAACATCTCTCTCCCTTTGTTTTCTGCTGGTACACTAACATTTCTGTCTGTCTATTTGTCTGTCTGTCAAGCTTCCCTGGTCTATCTGTCATATCCGTCTAGCTCTCTCTGTCTCAGAGAGCCACAAGACTGATCATCACTTTTACTCACACTCAAGCAGAGTATAGCACTTTGTCTGGATTTCTTGGGTTATCCTAGGTAATTTATACTATGTATACTTTGTTATTTATGTGTACCTGTGAGACAGAGATAGACAGGACAGACCACCGAAAGAGAGAGACGATTGAAAGAGATAGAAGAGGGAGAAAGATAATTAGATAGAATGGAGGGGAAGCAGCATCCCGACCCCATTGTTTTGACAGGTGGGAGGGGAAGTGAGTAATAATGAGAACATATGTCATTTAGACGCTGGGACTCTGTAAATTTACACTATTGGAGGAGGAGGAGGAGAGAGAGAGGGGAGGAAGAGGAAGAGTAGGAGGAAGAGTAGGGGGAAGATCGAGGAAGAGGGAAGAAGAGAAGGAGGAAGTAGGGAGGAGGATGGAAGAGGAGGAGAGGAGGAAGAGTAGGAGGAAGAGGGAAGAAGAGAGGAGGAGGAGGAGGAGGGAGGAGGAGAGGAGGAGGAGGAAGAGGCAAGAGTAGGAGGAAGAGTAGGAGGAAGAGGAGGAGGAAGAGGAGAATTAGGGGGGAAGAGAGAGGAAGAGGAAGGAAGAGGAGGAGGAGGAAAGAGGTGGAGGGAGAGGAAGAGGAGGAGGAGGAAGAGGAGGAGAAGAATAGGAGGAAAGAGTAGGGGTGAAGAGGGGAAGAGGAAGAAGAGGAGGAGGAGCAAGAAGGGCAGGAGGAGAAGAAGAGGTGGAGGAGGAAGAGGAGGAGTAAGAAGAGGAAGAGGAGAGTCAGGAGGAAAGAGGAAGAGGAGGAGGAGGAGGAAGTGTAGGGGGAAGAGGAGGGAAGAGAAGAGAAGAAGGAGAGATGAGGAAGAAGAGGAGAGAAGGATGAGAAAGAGGAGGAGGAGAGGAAGAAGAGGAAGATGATGATGTAATAATATTTTTCTCCTTGAAGCAAGAGAAAAAAAAGTCCACCCCATGACAGTGACAAGATAAGGCGGAGATAAACATTGCTAAGAGATGACTTTTGATGAGCGTAATCGAGGTGGAACTGATTAAGAAAAGATTAGATGAACATCGGCTCTCCCTTTGTTTCTGTGGTACACTAACATTTCGT